GATTCGCAGCTATGGCAGCATCTGGAGTTCTATCTGCAGGAACGTGGCGGGAAGCCTTCGCCAGAAAACTCTCATCATTGCGTGTTCCATACATGGAGCGTGGAAAGAAAGGGGAATGTACAACGCCGGTTCTGTAGATGTCTGYCCATGTCCCATTCGATAGTGAGAATGATCATCGATAATCGAACATGCCCTACCGTACAGGTACATCAAACTACCGTACGACTGAAGCAAGCAGAGAATTTGAACGTTTGACTCTACCCACTACAACGTACGGTACTGCAACACTGCGTAGTCGTACGGTACAGTACTGCTAGTTAGTTGCGGAAGCATTCTTGTACAAAGCTGCGTACTCTGGTTTTCAAAACCTCGCGCATGTAGCGTACATTAGGCATGTACCACAGATATCTACGGTACTATGTACGAAGTACAATACATAATCTTTAATCTTTCTCCTATTGTGACGTTGTACGTACGTACTCGTATGTACAATACAATGCTCGTAACTCGTACCGGCCGGTAGCGTCTGAAGCAATTTGCAATAATATCACCCTACGTACTACGTACGTACGTAAGTGAGAGGGGATAAATTATTTTGACCCCTCCTACGTGCCCGTACCGTAAGTACTAAGTACGTACCGTACATCATAGCGAATCACGACACGATGATCAGTGTGAGCCCAGGGATCATTGCTGCTATCCGGAAACTATCTGGAAATTACTGCGCTGATACGTATGCTTTGTACCATGTACTTCTAGATACTACTACGTACTTCGTACTTCGTCCCTAGTTTTTGTTCCGAGACAACACAGATTCTACAACAGATTCATTGTTTCGATTGATGTTGCTACCAACCAGCAGCATTCTAGCGTCACCGCCACAYCCATTCCTTCTYCACATCGCAACGGTGGCCCCGGCAGCGATCCCAGGTACCAACACATTCTTGGCRAGTAGCACCGGCATCGGCAGCTCTTTCGATTGGAACACGCTCGCCACTATCAAGACAATGGTTGGTTCTTCTTCGTCCTCGTCGTCTCCCGTCACGGTTGCAACCGTTGCGGCGGCGTCCGCAATGGCGGGACTGATCGCCGGATACTATTACCGATCTGTCACGTCGTGCAGYCACCGCGAGCTCAAAACCCTAAAGGTTCCGGCCGTTTTGCTCAAGAGCCAGTACGGAAAGGAACTCAAGCTGGCYGTCCAGCTGGCAATGGAAGGTAAGTTGCGTTGTATTTGGTTACACCCATAGTWCTTTGTGCCCGGCGTGTTTGGTTTTGCGCCGAATGCTCTACGTCATTTGCGCCGTTGAATGCATCTCTCATCGTTCCTCAAAACCAATTTTATCATAAACACGACGATTCATAATGATTCATAAATTGTGACGGCAATGAATTTTGCAATAAACTGAAAATYATTTAATGCAACAACTAAACCCAACGGAACGCAACAACTAAACGAAATGGAATGGAATGCAATGGAACATCACGCACCAACACGCAATGCACAGCCGGTTCCAACATGGTAGAATACCTGGAGGCGAAGGGGACCGCAGACGAGTCGTCCCTGGACCTGGGCATTGAAACAAAATCCAGCACTGCCGACTTTTGCACGAAGGTCGACGTCGAAAACGAGCGACTGGTCATCGAGGGCATYCGGGGTGCCTTTCCCGACCATGMCATCATTGGCGAGGAGAGYGTGGGAACCGGATCGATCCCAGAGCTGGACGAAAACGTTCCAACTTGGATCATCGATCCGATCGACGGGACCACCAATTTCTCGGCGGGCCTGCACTCGCTGACCTGCGTCAGCATCGGGTTTTGCGTGGGCGGCAAGCCTGTAGTRGGGGTCATCTATGCMCCCGGAACMAACGAGCTCTACGTGGCTGTTGATGGGTGCGGCGCCTACCGGAACGGAAAGCAGCTGTTCCAGGATCCACARCGGTCCACCAAAACGCTGGGAACCGCRGTGGTGTGCAACGAGATGGGGTACACCCGCGACCAATCCGACATGGACGTCCTGTACGGGGCCCAGAAACGGCTCATGATCAGGGGATGCAAGGCGATGCGGCAGATCGGGAGCGGCTGCCTCGATCTGTGCTTCGTGGCCAGCGGCCGGTTGGACGTGGTCTATGCGGGGCTCTGCACCGAGGGGTGGAAGCCGTGGGACTACGCTGCCGGGTTGCTGATCTGCAAGGAGGCCGGCTGCACCATGGAATCCATYGAGGCCCAGGCCGTGCCGGGTTGCGCGGGATTCGATTTGTACAGCTCCAGCGTCCTCTGCGGTGTATCGAAAGAACTAGTGGACGAGGTCCGCTCGGTGCTGCTTGAAAAGTGAGAGAGTGGGTTCCTTCTTGGTTCGTTGAGAGGATTTGATCGAATTGAATTTGATCAGACGGAATCTTGTTGACTTCTTTGACTCRATTCTGCCGTCTCCTAGGTACCTTACGGGGATATTTGGTTCGRCTCCTCAACTTCAGCATTGAAAACCGGCTAGAGAGTTAGAACATTCTAWTTYAACCAAAGGATTCCAATCTTGCTTTCATTATATGTGKAGCAGTAGTGATATTAGAGTTCTTKTAGCRCAGAAAAACATTTCTGATAGTAGCAAGAAAGACTCCTWATGGGAATACGATGAAACAWGTGATATTGTTSGTGCGTTGATTCCTCCTTGATTCGTTTGTAAGACTTGTATTCGACTSGATCGACTCAATAAGTTCGAGCAATGACCATCTTATTTTATCGGGGGTCACAAATCAACTTAGAAATCGYCCCAACATCTATGGTTCAAAACWATTTCTCGACCGTTGGCAGTCAGAAGAATTTTCAACACAATAAATCGATGTTCAATAATTAAGAGCGGGTGACGATCGAAACACGTATGACACTAAAAATTAATCTTCTTCTCCACGCCAAGGTCCACAAAATGCTGCCGTCATTCATTTTTGTTGTGTTTGAAAAATTTCTCAACGTTCACACTGTACCACGCACTACCGGTACCCAACAACATCCGAGTACCGCAGCGATCCCATTCGTAAGGACTATCGTAATAAATTGACAACTGTTCTTTAAAGAAGTGACAGACATCAATTCAAATCAACACCATTTATTTTCCGTCGACATACGGTAGCACGGTAAACAGCGCACAGTATTTCGGTTTGACGAGGAACAAAACCAACGTCTGGAAACACACCGAATAACCCATAGGAGATAACAACAAGAGAAACGTATCATGCCTCCCCAACAGGAAGAGAACATCGAGGTTCCGATTCCGTCGGATTTGGAAAGGGACGTCAAGTTTTCCTTCGACGYAGCCGACAGAAGCTCTTCGGCTCCGGCGTCTGACGAGAAAGGGTCGTCTCCCGCAACGAACACCGGGGACGGCGACGAAAAATTGTTGTCGTTCTTGACGGGTATGAAGAACGATTTGGTGGCCCGCAAACCCTACTACAATATGAAGACCGGTGGCGTCGGCGACTGGGGAAAACCCGATAATTTCTTTACAGTCTTTAACGCCACTATTTTTGCCTTTGTCATCCAGTTGATYCCGGCCCTTATTTTTGCMGACCTCATGGACCGACAAACGGATGGAAATCTTGCGACCGTCGAAACKCTCTTGTCCTCGGCAATCATTGGAATCATCTACGCGATTTTTTCTGGGCAACCCCTGGTGATCATGGGAATCACGGGTCCCGTCTCGTTGCTGTTGGGTACCTCCTACGGACTRGCCGCGCAGTTCGATGCCGACTACTTTCCMTTTTTCTTTTGGATTTGTTTGTGGGCGGGTTTGATGCACGTGCTTTCTGCCTGCGTCGGCCTGGTTAGTTTGGTCTGGAAGGTCACACCTTTTACCTCGCAAATCTTTGAATTATTTATCGCCATTACYTTTATTTATTCGGCCCTCAGGGATCTKATTGTTCCCATCCACCTTTCCGATCAGGACATCGACGGACAGGAGGTCACCGCGGAGCTCCGATCTGCAGGATAYGCCTCGTTCATCATCGGGCTGATTACCTGCTACACCGCCTGGAGCCTGCATTTTGCCGAGACTTGGATTTTCTTTTCCAGGCAGATCCGAACCTTTTTGACCTCGTACAACACGCTGATTGCTGTTGTGGTGGCCACTGCCTTTAGCTACATCCCCGGCTTGGACCAGAACAACGCGATCGAGCGCGTCAACGTGGTTGCCCCCTGGAACTGGGAACCGACGGCMGATCGTCCGTGGGTGACGAATCCYCTCCAGGGAATCGGATTGCAGGGAATTTTCGGGGCGCTCGTTCCCGGCTTCATGTTCTTTTTGCTCTTCATCATCGACCACAACGTTTCTAGCATCTTGACGCAGTCGCCAAAATTCAACCTCAAAAAACCGCCGGCCTATCACTGGGACTTTTTTGTTCTCGGGATTACCTTCTTCCCGTGCGCCGTCTTGGGTCTGCCCCCCGGCAACGGTCTCATCCCGCAGGCCCCACTCCACTGCCGGGCCCTTTGCACCCGCAAGATCGAAACCGAYAAGTACGGTGTGAGCCGAGAGGTCGTCACCCACTGYGAAGAACAGCGCTGGTCCGGGCTCGGACAGGCCCTGCTAATGTTTGCCGCCCTCAGCTCCTTTGTCGTCATTTCCTGGATCCCCACCGGCTGCCTCTTTGGGTTGCTCCTGTACCTCGGAATGAGCGCCCTCCACGGAAACGAGATCTGGGAGCGATTGCTCCTGTGCGGGGTCTACGAGCACAAGCGTCCGAAGATCCCCGTCGTGCGGTGCGTTGCCTGGAAGACCGTCCAGGCCTGGACCWTTATCCAGCTGGCGTGCGCGGTAGCGATCTGGGCAGTCGGGCAGTAYGCGCCGGTAGGGTACATTTACCCGCTCCTKTTGACCCTCTTGGTCCCCTTCCGGTCCTACGTGCTGGAATACTTTTTCAAGCCGGAGGACACGAAGCACCTGGACCCCGTCGAYGAGACGGAGGAAGAATTCCACGACGAGCAGCGCATGGTCCACCACACGCTGGGCCACTCGACCGACGAGGACGACATGCTCTTTCCCACCCGKGCCGAGTTCCGCGGCCAGGGCATGAAGCGGGCGCTGATGAACACGAACCGCCGGCACACCATCGGTGGGCACGGGGGCGCCAGCGACGACATTTTGGCGCTGGAGGTCGCCAAGGCCTGCATCGACCTGGACCTGGACGACGCGACAAAGCTGGAAATTGTCCAGCGGGCCGCGCAGGCCGATGCCCGCATGACGGCATCGACGTCCATCACCGACCTCATGGCCCTGGACAACCTCGGAGGAAACAAGCAGCAATAAACGAAGCCACGAACGAAGAAAACCACCAGCTGTGGTCTCCTTTTGTTTGTGCGAAAACCGCACGGTATCAAAATCTTGCAGCGGGAACGAGAAGCTGCACGTTGATTGAAACCAAATGCATGATGGATGCACGAATTGCCATCCCGCATGTTTGTCTTAGGTCGCCAATGATCATTCGGAACTTTGGTCCGAATTTCTTTGGTGGTTTGAACAACGGTTCGAGCCGTTGATTCTTTGTCACACACAGATTGGAACAATATCTACCAAAAAAATAAATACATCMCTGACTAAACGTACATTACATTTTCCCTCKGGTTGAAAATTATGGTWCGATGTAGACGTGCACCTGCACTGCACCTTCGCGTTCTCGCCGCATCTCCAACTCACGGGACAACAAAGGCTTGCTTTCTGCGCGGGCTTCTGCCTCGTTGCCGCTCTGSCCGCCTCACGCCGACTCGACGTACACGTACCGGACCGCCTGTGCGGGCTTTCGGAGGACCGCTCCCAGGGCCTCCCTCCCGCCGGGAGAGGAGGAMRCCCAGGCCGCCACAAGCCCCAGCAGCAGCAGCACCCCGGAGGAGGCCAACGCCCAKGAGGCCACGGCCTGTTTCGCGCTCCGCTCGGGACACAGCGTCGAATCCCCCCTCGCGTACCGCTTGGCGACGGCCGGGGCCCTGCCCCCGGGTCCGGCGACATAGATCCCGTCCAGGGCCGTCCCGTCCTCCCGGGCGTAGATCCGCAGCTCGTAGGATCCCTTCTCGAGGTTCCACGAGGGAAAGTCGTGGCCGCTGTCGAGCGTGTTGGATCCGTCCGCCTCGCAGGTCACGTCCCAGGGCTCGGAATCAAAGTCCATCACGTCGCCCTGCTCCTGGCCGGCGTACAAATACCACTCGGGACTCGGGATGATGGTGTAGGCGCCCCCCCCGACCAGGCACTGGACCCCAAAGTTGGCGGCCCGGGAGCGGTCGATGAAGTAGTTGTCGGGGCAGGTGGAGTTGCTCTCCGGTTTCGTAGCGTAGCAGGGGCAGGCGTGCGTGACCGGGTCGTAGCAGCACCCCGCGTACTTGCTCATGCCGGCATCGATCGGCACCACGGACGGCTTGACGGTCTGCTGGCCGTGGACGAGCTCGATGTTCKCGTTTCTGYTGGTGCTGCTGGTGCTGCGTTTCTTCGATCGCTTGTAGAGGACCACGTAGAGGGAATCTCCCCCCCCGACCGTGTCCCCACCGGTCCACCGCAGAAACAGGGTGTGGATGCCCTCCCTTCCCTTCTCGACCTCGAGCAGGAAGGAAACGAAGGGGCTGTTGCTCTCGGCGGCCGAATTGGTGGTGGCCGAGTCGGGCTCGAGCAGCTGGGAGGCCTTCTGCAGGTGGCGGCCCCTCCCCGGGTAGCTCCGGCCCACGTCGGGCAGGACCTGCAGGAAGCGCCGGTCGTACGAGTGCTGGGGACCCGCCGGTGCCTCCCCGCGGCCCGCGGGCGAGTCGGCCGTGAGCTCCCACTTCTGGGAGGGATAGCCCTCGCCCCCCCCGTCCRGGTCGCCCTCCGTGGCCTCTCCCGCCACGCTAACGTAGGCRTCCTCGTCGGTGGCGAGGCCGACAAAGATTCCCGCGGCGTTGGCGCAGAGCGATTTCCGGGCCGGTGCCTTCGCCTTTGCCGCCAGGGTCCACGGGGASGAGGCGAGGAGGAGGCAGAGGGTGGTTCCTCGGACCACCCTCGCCGCGAGAGACGTCGTTGCTGTCCTCATCCTTCCACAAGAAAACCCAAAATATCACCAAACACTGTATCGAGCAAACGATCAATCTTTTCCGTGCAAGCAATCGAGCACTCGTTGAGTCGAGAACGCTTATTTCTAATTACAGCAGTAGATTCGAGACAAYCGTAGCAAAYAGAATACTACGACTYGATTGAATTCGATCTCTACAATTCACGTTACGGYGATGGAAAYGGCGATTGTCTCGCGTTGTGTGATGCTTTCACACCGAAACATGCTGAATCCCATCCGCTGCGATTGAAAGCACCCGTTCTTCTGCGGTTCGTACCGTACGGTACCCGTACTGTAGCAGGTGTCCATCGCAAATCGATTGAGATTCCGTGTTGTYTTCCGCGTATTGTGCCGCGCCTCAGCAATAGGCACTCCAAAGGAGAGATTCCTTTCGAACCGGCTGAGATATGAAACAACGAGAGGCACGGGTGCCGTGTCGTGCTCCTWCCGACTCGTGCCGATTCGTGCTTGCCATGCGTACCGGTTCGGTACCAGGTACCGTACTAYGAGGAACGATACGAACTCGTATCTTGGGAAATATTTTTTGTGACTGCTGCCTCTTTCGTTGTCAAGAATTTTTGCAAGAACGCACTTCCTGGGTTGTATTTCAGGTTTTGGTTAGGCGTCGGAGAATGATACGGTACGGAGAAGGGAAACTCTACCTTTACTTACTATACGTACTACAAGTACTTACGTTAGTACCTCATCTTGTATTGTAATCTATCGTACGGTACAGTGTGTTCCTACGCTCCTATCCAAACATAGTACTTGTACGTTGTTCGMATTACTATGTTCCTACCCTCCAAGATATGTTCCTACCCTTTAAGGTATGTTCGTATTTCGTATCCAAACTCCAAACAGATATCCAAACAGATAGGTACGGTACTACMCGTACGAGTACGTACGTACAGTATTGCCTTCCGACTTACAGTACGGTAGTTCCTAGCCATGTTTGCACCAAAATATGTACGGTACGTCGTACCGGGAAGTTCATTCTCGTTTACTGTATCTGCTCTATCTATCTGGTACCGTAAATACTAAATACACCGTACGAACGGTACGTACCGTACCACATGTCATTGTTTCGATTAATTTTTTTCTGAAAAAACGGAAAACGAAAAAATCCGTCGGAACCGGTACCAACGCAACATGGTTCATTCCTATCGTACCACGGGGGATGGATAAGCTGATTGCTGTGTTGGTGGGCATTGGGCGTTCGAATTACTATCGGTCACTTCCACAGCAGCACATCCAACGCAGTCGAGATGGACGCCACAGCAKCGCAACCCGTCATTGACTTGGTTGAAACCAGCAGCAGCAGCAACAAGAAAAAGAACAAGAACAASAACAACAACAACAAGAATCACTCGTCCGACCAAAACACCGTCGTCATCGACAGCGAAAGGAAAAAGGACGAACGTGGGCTCGGAGGAAGACCAAGKGATGCTGCTTCCCTCGGTTCTATTGCAAAGCGAAGAAGGAAGAGAAAGGAGACGTTTCCTGGAGATCACGCGTCGGTTCCGATCCCTCCCGATGCCGAGGTGGTAGATCTTTTGGACGACRACGACGACGACRACGAAATAACAGCGGCAGCGACAGAAGCACCCAACGGTCAGGACGAGAGCTGCATGCACAACAGCRCCGGATTCAATCCWMTCGGWTCGTTTTCTAGACGAGACAGAAAGCGAAAATTCCCAGGAGCGACGGCCACCAGCGTGACCAAGAACAAACACAGCAACAAACTCCCCGGAAGCGAAGCGGGGGCCGCAATCGACGTCGATGCCGACTCCCACTGCCCCCGACCTTCGTTTCAACAACATCAACAACAACAGGAACAACAACAACGGCCACGAGGTCAAGGATCGCCCTCGATTGTCCTCGATCCCGGCGACAAGGCTCGGATGACCACCGGGCTCGTCTCTGCCATCCACAACGCCGCGGCAGCCCTGTCTGGATCGGCGACGGACACGGAAGCATCCACGAGCGTGGCTTCCACCACCGACCGCCCCTCGAGATATGCCTGGACCTGCCTGTCGTGGGCCACGGCAGGCACCGCAGACACAGACGCGRTCGCAGCCTTTCTCCCGCAGCACATCCAGCAGCCCGATTCCTGGTCCTGCGGCTACCGGAACTACCAGATGATGCTCTCGGCCCTGCTCCCGCGCCTGCTCCTGCTGCGCACCCGCCGGGCACGGGAGCMSCCAGAGCACCACTTTCTTTTTTCGAAGCTCCCCCTGCGCCTCCCTCCAACTCCCACGGAGCTCCCCACCGTCAAACAGCTCCAGGGGTCMCTCGAGCGATTCTGGGAAGAGGGCARGGACCCGGAGGGAGCCMKGCACTACCGACACTCCCTGTCCGGAAAAACCGGCAGGGGGGCAAAGATCGGGGCCCTCGAGGTCGCCCACCTGTGCTGGTACCACGGCATCGACGCCGCCGTCCTGCAGTTCATCCGGTGCCCCTGCTCGAGGGGAATGCTCCCCTACCTGGTCCTGGCCTATTTTGCGAGGAACCCGCGAACCCTTTCTTGCCACTCCGCCCCGTCGCTGGCCGGGTCCTTGCTCTCGGAAGCGGCCAGGCTTTCGTCGGAGTTTGCCTCGCCGGTACCAGCCCTGCCGGAACGAACGGTGGCCCCGCGGAAACCTTCGGGGGTCCACGGCGAGGGCTTTCACGTTTCGCCCCCCCTGCCGCTCTACCTCCAATGGGAGGGGCACTCCGTCACCGTGGTTGGCATCGAGGCCGATGTCGGTGTCGGTCCCACCCACGACGAGCGGCCGGCCTTTCGCCTGCTGGTGCTGGATCCAYTGGCACCGAGCGGGGGAGCGCGCAGCGATCTCCCGTCGTCGGCCTCGCTGCCGTGGGGAAGGATCCGGCACAGGGACCTCCAGATCGTCCTGTGCACGGAACGGTCCCTGGCCTATCCAGAGCGAAGCGCGGTTCCGGAGGGAAGGATCTTCACCGCGTCGGAGGAGGCGGTCCTGCGAGCGGCCTTGGGCTAGCCGGAAACGAGTCCGGACGAAAACGAAAACGATTCGAAGCGAAGCGAAGCGTAGCGAAACCCAAACCGTCCGCGGGTCCATGGCGGCCGGGGGCCACCACGGGTCCACGGATCGGCACGTAGTGACGAGGCACACGATGATGCAACGCAACGCAACAAAACACAACACAGCACAACACAATTCAACACAGCACAGCACAACACAATTCAACCCACGGAAACCGTCTGGCGCATCGGCCACGAAGATCACCGTGGCAGAGGCGAAGCACAAGAGGAACGAATTGCTTTGCGGCGGATTGCCTGGAACGCCAGTGGCTTCGTCCCTGATTTTTGAGGGTGGATGGCATTTGATTGTTCCTGCCATCTGCAAGTTGCGGAGGGCCAGATCCGACAACCCGCCACAGTTCGTCTTGCATTCATTAGCGTCGAGACAGGKTTGGAAAATATACAAATAGAGTTCGTGTAGTACATTACTTGTGTTGGGCGTTGAATGGCTTTTGCATTGTGTTATTTGTAGAGCAATATCCCCAMTATGGACACAACTTTTTTTGAATTGTTCCTAATCACGGTCCGCATGATAAAATCTCCTACAAGAGCAACAACCTGTGTTGAAGTGGACATTCTGTGACCCACACGATTCAGGTGCGCCAAGAGGTGCACCATTGACGCCGAGCAAGGCGAGCTGTTASATACCTCAAAGAAGCGAGATCAGTGTGATTGGTGAATCAAGTGTTCTATGTGTGATTKTKAAATGTAGTAGACCTCAATGCAGMTGGTGAGCTTGAAGATATGGAGAAGCTGACGCTKTAAGGGAGCAGCTGCCTGGCCAAGAAACAATCCTTGRGGTTGAAGAGATCCAAGGATATGGAAAATATTAATGTAGTGGAAGCAGGTAGGCTCACACGCATTAAGGAAGAAGAAAAGAGATTGAGTATAAGAGGAGTGAATTCTAGACAGAGGCCGTGATSATTAGAGCTAGGAGGAGAGCTCATATTTCAAAGAAATAGAGAATAAGACAGAGAACACTTTATTTGACTCATTCTAAGCTTACCAATATTCAAACCATCTCAACAACCTGTTCTTTGACAGTCGTGGTTGAGGGTTTTCTATCCAGTGTTGTTAGTATTGTTAATCAGAAGTGGTTTGTTTSAAGGATCTGCTCCTTGGGCTCATTGTTGCTTCCATCCAGCATCAATGGCAATCTCRATTCTTCTTCTCCGCTCCTTGCTGTGATTCCATCTTATTTTATTGTTGCTGGTAGCAACAGTTTCCACCTCAACTATTCTGCCRGTGCATTTCCTTCTTGACTATTGGCTGATTTGAAGTATTTTGAATCATAGATTGTAATCCAGATGCAGGAGCTGTGGTCCAGATGGGAAATTYGAGACCAAAACGCTGGATCATTGGGTGATTGGGAATTGCAAAATATATGTGTGCTCTTTAGTGTRGTATAACTATGTGTTCACAATAAAGAGTGAGTTGAGTGTGAGTGGATTTGCAGATTCTGTCACTAACTATTCACTCTTAATTTAMTAGTATGTGGTACTGCCTCACACCACCCCGCACTTGCAGAATCTAGAGACTCATTCAATTTAAAATTGCTGYTATACAGTAAATTTTGAAGAGGATCTAGATTGCAAGTGGAGCAAAATGTTGTGCCTATTCTTTTGCTTGTTGTTGTTGCAAAAGTTGCTGTATCCTCAACAAATGGGTGTTGATGTGTGGCTAACAAGTGAGGGTATGTATATTCTGGTTTWAGCTTTCACATGAAAATGTCTGAGTGTTCATGGGATTTTGTTTGACCAGTTGCTTTGCTCAGCAAATCACTGCAATTCTCATTTGATTTGGTTTCAATGAAATCAATGTGTTSATCATCAGTCCACTGTAGGATTACAAAGTTCTTCATTTCAACATGTCTAGTTCTTCTTGTTGATTGGTGTGCATTTGCCAATCTGACAGCTCCATGATTGTCAGCTGGTATTGATGTTGCTGTTGTTCGTGGAATTTTGAGTTCTTCCACCAGAATCCATCTTAAATATAATGTGGCTTTGCCAGCATCTGCTTTGCCGGCATCTGCCATGTTGTTGAGCTTAGAGATATTGTAGGTTGCAGTCRAGTTGTGTACTAGTACACTACTGCTGCACCTGCAACAAGCATCATTATTACTCCTCCCATGGAGTGTTGTTGCAATCTATCAGAGGCCCAYGTCGTGTCACAGGAGCAGTGTATTTTCAATGGATCTTTTGATTGATAGAATTTAGTCAAGAATTCAGGGTTGGTGCATGGATTAGGGAGTGAAGAATCTGGAAGATCAAGTCAAGGTTCTGGTCTCCAGTAGGTGAGGCCTTCTTCTTTGRTGGCCAGTAGATAGAGGAATGCCTGTTTTACTGCATCAAAGTGTATTCCTCTATACACTGTATATAGTTGAATCCCATAGTCTGTTGTAGTTTAATGGCTTCCGGGGGGTCTTCAGGGCCTGTTGTAAGCTGTAGTTTGYGTTGATAGGCAGGGGTCTCATTCATGGGTGTGGGCCGTTTCCYTGTGCAGTGTTTGTATTGTAATTGGCTTAAGTCCCACCAGCCATGGTGTGTGGAGATCTTCTCAATATGGGTGCTGCAATGAAGATGGTTATAGTGTTTTGTTTGGTTGACATGGATGCCATTGATATTGTGCCTGGTACATTGAGAGGGTTGGTCATTTGCGCTTGGATGGCCTGAGCTGCTGGCAAATGCTGTCAAATACTGATTCTTTGGTGTTAGCAAAAAGAAAGTCATCTAGCTGACAAAGGATTAGTGTGGTGAGTCRAGTGTCATCATGTTTATAGTTTAGGCAGGGCTCATGTGCAGTGGGTTCAAAAGCATTTATGAGGATGCTAGATATATGCTTATCCCATAGTTGTGGAGCTTCTGGATGACCTGGAGGGCCTTCATGAGGATAGGGATAACTTGTCTGGGGCTTATTGAGGCATTCAGTCCACCACTGTTGAAAGGATGTACTATTGAATTTCAGATAGAATGGTGATTTATGTGCTGGGGCTTCAGCAAATATGTTTCTGACATCATAGCCAACACATGTAAGGTTGAGAGCTGCTGATAGTGCCCAAGTTAGTCTTTGGATGGGCTGTTTGATGTAGGCTTCATATGTCTCTGTAGGATGACTGCTTTACCATATCTTCTCCCTCCATTGCAAGTACCCCTGGACTTTGGTTCTTCAATACCTGTATGAGAATATTCTTTTTCAATGTATGCCCATACCCATGGGAGGATGGTCATATCGGGCTCTGGGTCAATAGTTGGTTGTCCAAACATGCCTACTTTATTGTATTGATTGGGTTGTTCTTTCCATTCCCATTTAGGTGTTTGCATGAGTTTTTGTCATATCATTTTTGCAATGTTAATGTGCTCAGTACTAATTGTTGTAGGGGAATCAGTGGGGTTGGGCCAATCCATTTTGTCTATCCAGGAGCATAGGTCCTGGCTGTAGTTGATGGAGTGAAGGTGGCAAGCTATCACATTTAGCTGATCTTCTTGTAGTGTGGGAATAAAGTACAAAGCCTATAAGGGATCCAAAGGTGAATTTAATTGTTCTGCAGCATGTGTTTTAAGCATGTTGTATAGCCTCAATAATATCCTGTMTGTTATKGATGGCTTTATTGTCCACTTTAGTGCTTCCATTAACTTTTTCTCTACCGGGTTGTACCTGTTTGTTGTACCCAAAAAWTTTCAACTGGCAACCTAAAAGGATTATTCTGTACCACATTTGGTAGAGGATGAGATCATRGAGACTCTTGACCCTGCATTAGCATTTGTACCAGTTGATATGGAATGGAGATGGCTGTTTGAGGAACCCTTAGGGACTCAATTACACCATTTCATATTGGGGAAAGAGGATGAAAATTATGCATCAAAGGCAAGGTGTTGGGTGAACAGGGCCTTGTCGGGTCCTTTTCAGTCGACAAGCCCTTCATAAAAATTAAAGAGAACAAAGAGGGTACTAAAAGTAAAAACCCAAAGCATCAAGAGCCCCCCCAAGATATACTGGCTTACCATGTCTTCACAAATTGGCTAGCAGAAAGGGACAAAGCTCCAGTTCAACATGGTTATATTGTCAAAGACACCACAGTTACATTGGGGGGAGGCTCACCCAACTGAGGCTGGATGGATCACTTGATCAAATTCCAATTGAGCCTAGGCCAAAGCAAAAATGTACTCTGCACAGATGYGGTTTTAGAAAAGAGGACAAGAAACTCAAAGAACAACATGGTTTTCCCTATCGTACACTTCTTGGCAAAATCTTATACACCTACATTAAATGGTCGAGTCTTCCTTAAATGGTGGAGTCTTCCTCAAAGATGTCACGAAGAAATCAAGTGCAGCCGCCATGTTCTCCAACTGGAAGGCTACAAGGAATAAAGTTCATGGAGCATACATTGTCTCCATCAATAACCAACCTGTATTCAACAAACAGTCTGCTTTAAACATACTTGAATCCTTAGTAGCAAAAGGCACAACTGACTTTGAAATCAAATTTGCCCCTGTTACTACAGCTTCCACCAGTGTTTGCAGATGGAAAGAAATTGAGGAGTACAATTTACATGCGCCAACTGACAAATTCAATACCACCGCACAAATAAATTACACTGCTCTTTGAGCAATCACTGCCATCTGAACAGGAAATCATATTCCTTTGAACGTTGTCTCTGACAAAATGATTTGACTTGTCATTAATGCCCTTACTTCGCAAACAACTACAAAAGAAGAAGAAGCACTTGGACATTTCACCCGTTGAAAACTAAAGAGACTTGATAATTGGAACAAATGGCAAGAAGCCAAACGAAAACAAAAACAACTTGATCAATTCCATGATCTCAAGATGTATGGAAAACCAACACCACGCCCTCCAAAATCAATCCTGCTTCGACCCCATTGGCAATATCAAGTTCGCAGAACCGGTGAATGACAATCTAGAAATTGTTGGGATGGATCAAAACGATCTGCACCATTACTTCTCATACAATTGTGTCTACTTACTCATCCTGTGTCAAATAACCAGTACAACGTC